ATTTTATTTACAGAGACCATATTCGATCAATGTGAAAGATGAGCACTGTTGAGATGTTGTTGTGCTGTTAAAGAGAAAATAATACAAAGAGCTGAATCGCAAATTGTGCGTCTTGGCTTCACTCTCTGACTGGAGTACCTGAATGGATGAAGTGTCCCAGCATTATTTAATAATAAAACAGAAGTCATTCTCTAATAGGACCAGAGACTTCATGGTCCAGCTTTATCACTAGATTCTAGATCTCAACCAACAGACATCCACCAAATGTAAATATCTAAGATGATGGGTACTGATGAGAGCATACAAGAGCGTAAAGTGAGTCATATCACATCTAAATGGTGGTTCAGTGTCCACCAAACTGTGGCAGCCTGCTTGTTAGCTCCTCCAACACCAATTGATGATTTTTCCACGTGTCTCTGAAGGGTTGTCTCTTCAAACAATGTGTTTTATCTCAGTGACAGATGTTTGCTGCCTCTCTTCTGTAAATCCCTGAGGGGTTTGAATGCTTTTTGTTCAATCTTAGGCTTTCTAAATACAGGTCACTTGACAAAACTTGCTCTTCACAGAAATTGTGCTCTCCAAAGCAACACAAACTATTGATGATTGTGTGTGATTTTATCTTCATTAAGGACCCTTTTTACACATATTTTGAAAAGCCTTTTTGATCCATCTCGTGAAAAATGCTTGATTTGTACAACTAAAAGAGAAATTTTATTTCCCAATGTATTGAAATTGCCTTGCATGTCTTGAAGGGGTTTTGCTTTCAAAAGACACAGTGAAGAAAACATTCCACAAGTGAAGGTCTGCAAAGACTTGTGTGTCCAGGGAGGCTAGCTTGGGTAAACTACAGATTCAACTTTGGTGTCTTTTCTGGTTATGTGTCTTTTGTTGTTTATTGTACTATCTCCAGAGAAGGTAACTAAGGAACACTGTAGCCCCTGGTTATTGTATACCCTAGCTTGCTTCAAGGGTGAGTAAATGAAATCTTTAACTTTAACACCACTTTTTTATGCCGTTTTCTGTCCAGAACAGTCAAACTCACTGATCAAGCAGATCCAAAAGCAACTCATGTTGACTTGTTTTCTATCAAGGGTAGGCAGAGATTTAAATACTATCAACAGCAAATGCCATATTGAAAATGCAGACTCAACCTAGCTTGAGGCTAAAAGGTGGAGTTGAGGTTGGCCATTAGCTCCTCTCGAACAGCTACAGTGTGTGTGTGTGTGCCTGCCAGTCAACTCAGACCTGTTTTTATCTATGCAAAACTCATATCCTTAAACGTCCTGCTAAGTTAGGGTTAGAACCAACTCTTTTTTGGTTTTAAATGCATAAAAGAACCACATAAATTTGTTTATTGCATCAACACATTTTCACTTCGTCAGAAACCTGCACAAAAACAACAACAGGCATGTCCCAGACATGTGTGATCAACTCAGTAAAGATGTCTGTGTGAAGGGTATACGAGGATTCAAGGAATCTTTATTGTCCCCGTGGGGCAAATAGCTTTACAGCCAGCAGTGCCACAAACAGACAGAAGACAACTAGCACAACAATAAATAAATAAATAAATAAAACGATAAAACAGAGAGACTAAAAACAATCACTTGTTTAAAAGACCTATGGCAGCAGGGATAAGAGAGTTCTTCAGTCTGTTTGTCCTACATCTAGGCAGGACGTACCTGCGGCCTGACGGGAGCAGCACAAACTCGCCAGCCAAGGGGTGGCTCTGATCAGCGAGGAGTTAGCGGGCCTTGCTTAGTGTTCTAAGCTTAAAAGTGTCTGTGAGATCCTGGAGGTTAATGCCAGCAATTTTGCTGCATATTTTCACTATACCAGACAGTATAGTATACAGACTATAACAGACTCAGTAAAACAGGAATAAAACATTTTCATATAAGTGCTATCCACATTAAAACTCTGCAGTTTCCTGAAAAAGAACAAAAATTGATGTGCCTTCTTGCAGGCAGCATCAACATGAACGTCGAAGGACAGCTTATCATCAATGTTTATGCCAAGATATATGCAATTCGACAACTTGGTCCTCAATGGCAAGAGGAGGGATAGCTGATTAATGTTTACGGAAATCAATCAGCATTTCTTTGGTTTTGGTCACATTGATGGGCATAAAGGATGCAGAGCACCTGTCTGTGAATTCCTTAACAACAGGACCATGGGCAGGGTCGTCACCGCTTAGCTAGGACACGATTACTGAGTCGTCTGCAAATTTCAGGATGTGACGGCCCTCATGTTGACTACAGCACTCATTTGTATATAAAACAAACAGTAGGGGTGAAAGGACACAGCCCTGCGGTGACCCTGCGGAGGAGACAAGAGTGTCTGATAAAACACCGTTGACCCTCACATGTTGTGGTCTTTCACTTAAAAAGTCAACCAGGCTAATAGACCAGGATCAACACTGTGGAAGTCCCTTAATCTTCCTGCTAAAATGTGTGGCTGTATGCAGTTAAAAGCAAAGGAGAAATCAACAAATAAAAGACGAGCAATGAGGGTCTTGGCTCCCTCAAGGTGAGTCAGGACGAGATTAAGCAGCATGGTTAATGCATCATTGGTACCTCTGCCTGACCTGTAGGGAAATTGCAGTGGGTCCAGGTTGTCCTGAACGCAGGCCAGCAGTGACTCTTTAACAATTTTCTCAAAAGACCTCATAACAAGAGAAGTTAAGGCCACAGGTCTTCAGTCATTTAGTGATTTAGGGGATGCAGATTTGGGAACTGGGACAATAATGGAGACCTTCCAAAGTGAGGGGACTTTGTGAAGCTGGAGGGACATTGAAAAGATAAAAGCAAATATGTCAGCCAGCTGGTCAGCACAGTTCCTAAGAACACGCCCACCAATGCCATCCAGGCCAGGGCTTGTCCGTTTCCCAACTCCACGGAAAATTTTGCATACATTGTTCCTGTCAACAACACTTTTCAGTGAAGAGACTGCATTTTTAAAAACTGACAGTTCCTCACTAAAATTATGGTTGTTGAAATGATTATAAAAGTTGTTTAATTCATTTGAGAGCACCAGATCAGGCATTCCATTCAAAGCGACATGGGTCTTCTTTAGTTGCATTCCCATCATAGATTTGAACCCCCTCCCATGCAGGACGCAAGCTACCTGCCGTTAGCATGCTCTCAACCTTATCCTTATACCTGCACTTGGCAAGTTTGAGCTCCTTTTTGAGCAGTTTTTGAAGCTCCCTGTATCTTGTTAGATCACCTTGGAAGAAGGAAGTGTTCCTCTGGTTAATGACAGATTTGACACTTTTTGACACCCACGGCTTATTATTTGGGTAAAGGAAAATTTCTTTCCGCGGGATAATGGAGGCCTCGCAAAAGGAAATATATGAAGACACGACATAAGGCCCAGAACAAAAAAATACTGTATTATAAGCAATATTGTCACGGATAATGAAGCCTAACAAGGTAACCTAGAGATCAGAATCAAATTGGATGATAGTGAATTGTTTTTAGTGTAATTTGTAGCTGATTTAAGACACAGGTTGAAACCGACCCGTTAACATTGTGGGTGCGTTGTGAAAACTAACACAGGATAAAGGTTTAAGCTCTGTGATAGACCGGTGTCCATTCTGCAACCAGGTCCATCATGAGCTGGCTCTCAAAGATTGGCTGGAGTGCTTTCATATTTCTATCATGCAAACCATGAAGAATATCTCTGAGGTTGGCGTCAGGTTTTTATTTTTATTTTTATGTTATTGTGACCAACAGCATCTTTACTCTTTGCTGCTCAGACCTGCGCTTTCTTTCTGACCACAGTTTATGTTGAGCTGGATGGAGAGGGAGAGTCTGTGTCAGATGTGAAAAATCCCACATTATAACCAGGCCAAAAAAAATAAAAAAAACACACCCTGTCAGAGAAAAAATGAATTAAAACTCAGATTGGATAAAGACAAAACCGAGTCAACTCCTGAGTAATGTCAGAGGAATATTTAACAGACTTTATGTAGACCTTTATTATTTCAGGGTCACCCAGATGTAGAATATAAGCCTGACAATGCTTATAAGTATTCCAGTGAAGTTGGTATAAATGCCACTCAAAGTGTGCTAATTAAGAGGTTAGTTTTGCTCAAAATAAATTCCCAAATGGTAATTTTCAGCAGAGATGCTACTTGCATAGCTTTAATGGACTTAAAAACTTTTTAGTTTAATCATAATTCAAGCCTTCGCTATGTACCAAAACATAAACTCTACTAATAAAACAAAGAGATTAAGTTAAAGCAAATAAAGGACTTATTTGACGTTTAAGGATAGATTTTGTCTTTAAAACAAATGAGTTGTAAAATAAATCCAACCACTGCACTGTGTGTGCAGAGAGAGAAACCTTCTTTCTTTTGCAGTGTTGCAGATGTTTTTTATTTATTTATTTTTATTTATTTATTTATTTTAGGAATGAGCATCACAGTAACAGGGTTTTGAATTTGAATACAGCACAAGTAAAAATCAAAGGATACCTGCACATCGACAAAAAAAGTAAACCCTTTTCCATTTAAATTGTTAACTATTTATTCCCACCCTGCATCCAGTCCGTGTCCAATGACTTTTTTTTACTGACATTTGACTTAAAGTTAGGATTAACAAAAGACAATATCATTTAGTGTTTAACCAAACAAGCATATTGACTCTGAATTATCATTCATAAACCGTGTGTAGAGTGGGCTCTCTGTCTGTATCTCTGCAGTGATGGGCATCAGTCATTGTGCACTTCTGTGAAGCTTCCTGTCAACAGTCTTCACGCTGAAACTAAAAGACAACATCATGGGCTGTCTCTCTCTTCTGCTCTCTGTCTGCAGCTGACATAAATGTTGCATGTGTCTCTATTAGATGCTAGAAGGACCTAATGTCAGTATCTGCAGAGTTGTAACTGAGGAAATGAAATGCTGGTGGCTGTTACTGAGGGTGTAGCAGAGCGGCACAGCAGGCAGAAAGAAGAAGTGTGACAGGAAAACTAGAACTGGCACCTTCCTGTGCCAAGATGTGGACATGTTCATAACATCTTCCTTGATGGAGCGTGATGCACAAGCTTCCAGTGGAACCTGGAATTAAGGCGCTTAAGGTTGGTAGCTTAAGTTTCTAAGAACAAACTAAAATATATTTCTGTTGTTACACAGCATTTTACCCAGAGGGTAGAGGCACTAAGTTCTTGAACTTTCTTGGAGTTTAATTTATGTTGGTTGAATGTGAGTGCTGCAGCTAAAGTTGTCCTCAGATGTACAGGAAGTGCTCGGTTTGCTGCCTTAATCAGCACAAAATGTGATTGAACCAGCTCTTTCTTTCCTTCCCTGTGGCACCAAAGTTGAATGTTGTGGACATGTCCTTGGAGACCGAACTCTAACGTATCTGAAATAGGATCTTTGAAATTTGAGATTTTTTGATCAGGGCTGGAGTCGACCACTGCTGCCCCACCTCTCCTGGATGTTCTCCCATCCCTAGGAAGCTTTCCATCCCTTATAGCTGCTCTATCTCCCCTGTGACAGCAGCAAGAGTGGCTGCAGTAATCCAGTTAGGGGAAACTCACTCACTCTAAATAGCAGCCACAGAGATTATTCCTCCGGGTAAAATGGCACCGCAGGCGTGTGTGTGTATGTGTGTGTGAGAGAGAGAGCGAGAAAGAGAGAGCGAGAGAGAGAGTGTGAGTGTGTAAGTCACCAGGGAACATGCAATGTAATCACAGCAGGCGATTACCTGGTAGCAGTCAGGTTGTTCTGTGTGTGTGTGTGTGTGTGTGTGTGTGTGTGTGCGTGCGTGCGTGCATGCGTGCGTGTGTGAAAATCCTAGGAGAGCATCAAAAAGTAATCACAGGAGACTGTTACTCAGTGGAAGTCAGGTGTGTGTGTGTGTAACTTGGTCACTGAGATAAGACTGTATATACACTAAGATAAAATATCTGCTCTGCAGGTAAACTGAAGATGCTGCATCACCACACACACACACACACACACACACACACACACACACACACACACACACACACACACACACACACACACACACAAAATCCTCCCTCATCAGCACTTTGCATCCCAGTACACTTCAGTTTGTATTGAAACTGTCTCTCCAGCATCCACAAAAGTTTCTTTGAAAGAACTGTCAGTGACTCACTCTGAATCCCATCCTGGTGTGATGCCTGCGTGAAAATCCAGAGTGATGCACTCAGTCTGGATTACTTGGGACTTTGAGAGTTCACATTTTACAACTGGACTGAGGCTGAAACTGAAGATTTGTCAAACACTTTGCTTAAGAACCTCATTGTGTTGTTTAATCTTAATCATTTAACGCTTTTTGAGTAGACGGTGTATTTTAATTCATAACAATCCATATCTCCTTCAGTGTCAGATGGTGCAGTTTCTCATTGTGTGAAGAAGTACTTCCCGGGTAATTACGCCTAAAGCATGAAAATATGAGCAGAGTCTGTACAGCCTCCCACAGCTGATGGCACCAGTAGCATTAGCAGTTTAGCCACAACTAACGGTGCAACCACCAAACCAAAGCAGCGATCAATTGTATCATCAACGTTTACATCATCTTCATCATCACCTTCATCATCACCATATGACAAAATATATTGTGATGTTTTTACTTTTTTTTTTTTGCTGAATCGCCCAGTCCAAGAGAGGTGTTTTAAAGTGTTATTGTATTTTATGAGCAGCTTTCTCCATCATGAAGTTGAAATCATGCAAGTTAAGAACAATGGCTTGTGCTGGTTTGTTTAAAAAAGACGAAAATGGCAAGAAGACGTTTGAAGGAAAGTCCTGGAAAAAAGGTCCTGCGCAAGTTGTTAAATACCCATCTAGGGGGTCAGTTTAAGAAGAGTCTGGTCTCTCCCAAGGTCCCAAACCACATGTGAAGATAGAATTAAATATTATACTGTGATTTATTGATGTATTGATGAAAAAAAAAAAAAACATTAACAAATCTGTGTTTACCAGTGCCCAAAATGACAGCGCAAGCTATCTGTTTTCGGAACACTAACCAGTATTTATTTCCTTTTTTTCCACATTTCATTAACTATAGCAGATCACTATCATTCATATTATTATGAAAAACTAAACAACTGAACTTAAGTCGAAACTTTATCAAATAAATGTTGAATTCAGATTAAAAAGTTAACTCATTTACATCAAACCATCGGGTTTTTTTTTGTTTTGTTTGTTTGTTGACAAAATGAGAAAAAAACATGGTAAAATTTAGTTTTAAGAATGTATGATTTCACATTTTCTGCACTTTTGAAATCCAGTGTAAATCTTGTTATTTTAACCACATGACTGATATTTATGTGTGGAGCAGTATTCATCTGTATTATTCTGTGTATTCATCATAACAAAACTTCAACACTGGCCAGTAATGTTTTCAGATTCGGTTTGCAATCATTTCGGATGAAGAACCCATGTTATCATTAAGAAAAGATCATTCCTGTTGTTGACACAGTGGAAGTATTTACAGGAAGACAGCTTAAACCCTCTCACAACCGCAAAATCCAGCTATGACTTGTATACCTGCTATTTCATATTTTAACTTTGTTTTCTCTTTTGTATGAGTGAGAGAAATCTGACTGTGAGTCTGCAAATGCTTTCACTCCAGTCCTCTACACTTTGATACAGCAGTTTGCTCAAACACGGTGTTTCATATTTCTAAGGGGGCTTTCACACCTACATCGTTTGGTCTGGACTTTCTGACTTTTTTGTTTAGTCAGAACCAAAGGATAGGTGTGAAACCTCCCTAGGACCTTAGTCCGGACCAAACAGCCAGACCTTGGTCCAACCTAATGAGGTGGTCTTGGTCTGGACCACACTGAACCACGGTCTGGTTTATGCCCAGTGTGAAAGCGTTATTTTGAAAGGTTTGGACCTTTGTACCAAAGACAGGAAATGACACGAGTAGTACAAGTGTCCATTATTATATAAAATGGAGATTGTCCACAAACGGGAAATTTTACATTATTGTAGATAAAGTTATACCTCACTATTGAAAGTTTATCTTTTCAAGAGTTTTACTACACAGACTTTTCTACTGAGCCAGTGTTGCAATGATTTGCAGAATTGTATTCTTTCTTCTCCTTTCTTGTTGATGTCAATAAAGTTGTTGTCTAATGATCAAATTCATGAGACTTCCTTGGACCAGCCTCATGTACTGCTCTTCAAGTTGTTGCTGTTGAAGGTAGAAAATCAAAAATGGCACGACAGTGGAAATGACAATTTCATCCATGTTTACACCATTCAAGACCCGCACTTTTCAATGTGTTGACGTCAGATACCCGTCAGCCTAATGACCAATCAATGTAAACTGCAGAGACACGCAAAGGACATAGTTGATGACGATATCATGTAGGTTTGTCATATAAAGTCTGTTAGTCTGTTTGTAATAATGACAGTGTGAAACCTACCCCTAACCAAATGTAAACAATGTAACAAAAACACCCCACATCACAGTTTCCAAGCAGCTCATTAAATGAATATGTGGTGTGAATCATCAGCCTGCTTGAGCTGATAAGTCTCAGTCACTACTTTAGCCGTCCTGCTGAGCATGGGTTCAGTAAAGTTCATAACCAAAGGCTTTAGGTCCAGCTGTTGACCATTTTCCTGTGAGTCAGGATGATTTCACTCTACAAATCCCAGAGTAAATATTTCATGTATCTTTACTGAGAGGGTCTCAGCACTGTCACCACCAGCACTGTGTAAAAAGGCACTTCTCTCCTCCAGCTCACAAACTTCAACACCTGACACTTTTATTACATCTCCACCCCTTTTTTTAAATTTATTTGTGGCTTTTCTTTGGTGAGAGCACAAACTTTATCCACTTTTATTTTCAATTTCCACAATTTACAGTCAGAAAATGGGACTTTATAAGCCCTGGCTCTCAGTTTTGTTCATGTTTCAGGGTCCTTTCTCTGAGTGAATCTGAACACAGGTTTTAAAACCAAATCAAAGCCTCTTGCTCTTGGCGCTGACAGTTGTGTGAAAACCTCTCTGCAACCCTCTTTTTTGTTCTTTAATCTGTCAACTTCCCTCTACTCTCTGACACTTGACTACTTACAGACTCTTTCTTTGCAATCCCCTCTGCTCCTAACTTTACATTTCCTACTTTGCCTGTTTCCCTTTCAGACTATTTTAACATCTTTTTGTCTCTTTCTGACTTCACTCTTTACCCATCGTGCACATTAGGCACAACAATACCACTATACTGCGGATGCTGAGAGTTTTCTATTCATTATAAAGACAAACCCTCCTCAGCAGCTCTGAGAAAGATCTTAGCTCAAAGCAAAGGACAACCATTAGCTCGGTTGCTTGACAAAAAGCAAAAGAAGGAAGAAAAGTCACAAATAAACCAAACGCCCTGGTGAAAAATAAGGAAACTGCACAACTTAAAAGGAAAGGCTGCAGGGCAGGACACAAGTGCAGGCAGAACAAAGAAGCTGCATTATGACATTTTAAAGGGCAGCCTCACAAATTCAGTATTAGACCACTGGAGCTCCTAGGCAGGCCGTCCTCACCACAGCTGGGCAGCTTTTCTTCAACAGAGTCTGAATCTTTCCACTTTTTAAGGATATTTCTAAAGGTGTAAACATCGATCTTAGCACAACATCTTGACAGCAAAGTGAAACCAGGTATGAGCTCCAATTACTGGACAGCCTGTATGAGCTTGTACATCTCTTCCTTACCCCTGTCATCCAGGGAACAAATTGTATCATCAACACAAATAAATGCATTTGATATTCTTCTTCTAACTTAAATCTCTCAACACAACTCCTCTCTATTACACCTGCCTCTCTTCAGAGCTCAGGCATGTCCAAAACTTGCCTTGTACTGTTTCTACAGTAATGGGGAGTAAATGGCAAAATGCTCAGGCTGAAATATGAAGATAAAGTGGTTGTTATGCACAAAGTAATGTATAGATATTCTTGGTGGCAAATTATTGGGGGCGTAACAATTCATCTACAACTTATCAGAAGACATTTTGACTATAATTATTAGGTATTTGAGTTATTGTTGCTAAGACTTTGCTTTTTTTAAAGTAACCTCCTCTGGCTTTAACAACAGCTCATTAAAAAGATACTGCTGATTCATGGGATGCGTTTTTCTGACCGATCGATCCAATTCATCCCACATAAGCTCAATTGGAGAAAGGTTTGGAGACTGAGGGGGCCAAACCATCTTTTGAAGAACACCTTCCTCTTCTTTTTTGTCAAGGTAACCCTGACAGAGCTTGGCAGAATGCTTAGGGTCATTGTCTTGCTGCAAAACAAACTAATGAGCCACAAGTATTAGTCCAGATGGAACAGCATGGTGCTGGAGGATGGAGTGGTACTGCTCCTTCTTCATGATACCCTTTACTTCATAAATCTCCTACTCCATCACCTGCAAAACATCCCCATACCATGGAACTACCACCTCCATGCTGAAATGTGGGTGTAACACATGGTGCTTTCAGACGTTCACCAGTTTGTCTGCGGACATAGACTCTGCGTTTTGAACCAAACAGTTCAAACTTGTTTCTAGTCATCATAAGTCCAATTTTTGTGAGCTTTTGCCCACTCATATCTCTTTTTCTTGTTCTGTGGACAAAGTAGTGTTTTTTTGTTTTTTTTTTTGCAGATACACAATCCTTCAGACCAGCCTTTCTCAAACATCATTTCACGGTTGTCAGAGATATGGGTTTCGACCTTGTCATGTTGATTTCCTCTCTTATTTTTGGTGCTGTCTTTTGCTGATCTCTCTTGCTGGTGAAAATGCTATGTTTATCTTCTGCTTTTGTAGTAACTCTCTTTCGTCCAGGTCTTTTTCTATCATCGTAACTTCCAGGTTCCTCTAGTCTCTTCAAAGTGTAGTGGACTCCTTTGTTCAACACCTTTAGTTGAGATTGATTAGGATTTTTGTTATGCAGACTCTCAAAAACCAAAAAGTTGAAGTAAATAATCCAACTGTGATTTGTTTTTTTTTCTTTTGTACTGAAGTTGTGACTCTTGAAAATGTTTTCAACCCTAAAACTAAGCCCTTATTATCTTTTGCTGACATATATTTAGTAATGGTCTGTTAACATCAATGTATATCTAAAGGTAAATGGAGTAAAATGGTGCATTTCCATGAAAGCAACATCTGATCATGGAGTAAATACATCCCAAAATACATAAAACTCATGCTGGATTTTGAAAAAAGCATTGTGAACAAAAACTTGAAGTTACTCCCAACTGTTTGGCCTGTAATGGCCTTGCTTCCAAACTTTTGGCCTGTAGTGTATGTATCAATTTATATTCCTATGTCAAACTATATCGATCTGTGCTCGGCAAGTTGGCCTTCCGGACAACATATATCAATCTAACATCATTTAAAATGTAATAAATTGCTTGAACCGATACTTGGAAATAACCCAGTAGATTTAAGCATGGCAGACTGTGCATGGATGTGTTTTTTTCACTTTTAATAATAAAGACCTTCACAGTTACTTGATTCAGTCTGTCTGTCTGTGACATCATCGCCACGTGTCAGCAGACAACAAAACATAGCATGGCGGATAGCGGACGTGAAGTCGGTGAGCGAGAAATTATCAAGCCACCGTTGCAGTCCAGTGTATGTTGTATTTGTATTATTTCTATGCTGAAAAACAACAGTAAAACTAGCAGACACGTACGTCAGCCTAACTGACATCTATAAAATAAAACTAGAGTAACCTGCCATTGAGTTTTAACTTTAATCACCTTAAATTAATTTAACATAGTCCATAATTAGTTACTTCATTATCCTGTACATTGAAGTCATTTTCTCCCATCAAATTGCTAACCAGATCTCTCTGTATGTCTCTGAGCCCCAGCCCTCTAGGTTGCTCTGGACTGATGGCTGCTGCAGACCTGCCTGACTTCAGCCACATCGTCTATGATTGTCCGCCTCAGGCCCTGAGCTCCTTCTTCTCTTGGGTTCCTCTGGACTGTTGCTGCAGACATGAACATCAGCCTCACTGATATTAATAACATAAAACTAGAGTTAACTACTATTAGGCCTGCTGACTGTAATCACATTAAATTAATTTAACATTGTCCATAATTACTCATATACTAACCTTGTAAACTGAATTCATTTTGTTTCACCATTACATGAGCTGTTGTTGTTGTTGCTGTTGTTTCTTCTGTCCCCTGTCTCTCTCTCACCCTTGTTCTCTACTCTCTCTCCCTCTCCCTTACTTATTCTCTCTCTCCTTCCCCTTATCTTGTTCTCTCTCTCTCCCCCTGCCCTCTCCCCTCTCTCTCTCTCTCTCTCTCTCTCTCTTTCTCTCTCTCCTCTCTCTCTCCCCCTATCTCTCTACATTCCTCCCCAACCCAGCAGCAGCATGGTGGCTGTCTGGCATGAGTCTGGTCCTGCTCAAGGTTTCTGCCTGTTAAAAGGAAGTTTTTCCTTGCCACTGCTACTCATGTTAGATGAGATGGGCCAAAACCCATTTTAGGTTGGTTCTTGATAATTCATGAATTGGCGCTACATAAATAAAATTTGATTGATTGATGATTGAATTTGAAAACTAGCATATGGTTATTATTGAATGTTTGAATTGAGAACAGAAAAGGTTAATTTCCTGCTAATCCAACCTGGAGTGGAGGTTGCACTTTATTCAAAGAAAATGTGAATGGATTTGCTATTAATTGTTGTTTACTTTTTTGTTTATAACCATAATTAATTTATACCTGATTTCCTTACAAGGAACAAAAGGAATTTAGGAAATTTCACCTGCACTGTCCAGTATCCAGGTATTTATTTCACAGACACACTGGTTGAATTTTTGGCTAAAAAGTTACTGAATCATTTTCAAGTTACTGAATCATTTCGGTTTGTATGGTTCTAAATGGACCCATATTGTTCTTGAATAGAGTCGGCAGCTACGAATTATGATACGAATGAAATCATTGTTAATATGAATCGTTACACCCCTATTAAATGTTGACAAATGTAGGATCATACTTATAATGTCCCTCAGGGGGTTCTTCTCCTCAAAAGCTCCAACAGGAGGGAAAGATGATGTTTCAGACTATTGTCACATCTAAAGGGGTTTTTGTGTTTTCATCACAAGCAGACGTGTTTTTGAATATTCCTATATCCACAGGACAACACAGAAACAGTTGAAATGTCATTTGATCAACCTGTCATTGAATAAACTGGATTATTTTAAAGACAACTCCTTTATACAGCTAAAAAAAAAAAAAAAAAAAAGCTCTCTTCAGCCTCCAGTTTCAGCTACATTCTGATTCAATCTGTGTAAAACTTTACATCCTGACCATCACAGCATCTATCTGATGTCATGATCAGCTTCCTGTAATCCCCCACGCCCCCCATCTGACAAGGAAGACCTCATGCTGTGAGGATGTAAAATGGCACATACATTAAGGTTTGGTATTCACCTGCAACTTCATGAAGAATCTGTTCAGCTGAGATTTGAGCTTAGACATTAATATTCACATATACAGTGGTGTTAACATATACATGTCTTGTAACTAGAGGTGTTCCTGATGTTTGCATGTATGAGGGATGCAGAATAAAAACACTATAATAAACTCAAATACAACAACCTTAAAAGCAAACCTGGTGAGGAATAATTCATTCATAGCAGAACTGGTTTAACTGATTGTAAGGACGCCTAGCCCATGTTCACACTATAAAAAATGGAAGGTCCACATGAATGATCATTTCGACAAGCTTTACTGGTTACTGATCTGGGTTACAGCTTCATCATGTCACAAGTGTAACAAAGTGTAGCAAAGTGTAACAGAAGCATAATAAAGATTGGTCTGAGACCATTCAAGTATATATAGTTGTCCACATTTCTAAACATACTGCTGACATTTAGTTGACCCTTAGAAAAATCCATATACGGTAAGAACAAAGGACAACATATTTTAAGGAGCTTTAGGTAAACATATGGAGGGTCCTTAGAAGGAAATACCATGACAGAACATATTTTGGGGACCTGTGTGATGTAAAATATGGGTACAAGGTCCTTATTGAGGATGGTTGTCGGAGGCCCCCGGCTCCAGCAATCTAACACTGAAGTATCTGAGATATTTGTGTGACACAGCTCCACCACTCTAAAGGCTGACATGACTGGCTAAAGAAACTCATCCTAACACTAATATACCTGACTGAGTGGCCTGCCTTTGGGAGAATATTACCTCTGAATACAAATACTACCTGTTTAATGCCCTGAGAACTTCCACTGATAGGATCAGGCGGCTTGGATGTAAACTCAGAGGTGAAACACAGGGCAAAAGAGTCCCCTAAAGCATTGGCTGTATGACTTGCTGTCTCTGTTAAACAAGCTGTAAATGCAGGTTAGTGAGAGGTTTCCGAGAGGTCTACCTGAAACACTAACAGTGACAGAAACATCACAGAGTAAAGGCAATATCACTCCTAAGTCTACAGAGATGTTAACCTCTTTGAAACAGCTGCTCGAAAAACTAACTTCTGTAGGTGGTATTTTTTTTTATTTTGAAGAGCTATTCGCATCACCGCCATGTAAATCATGACATTAAACAGTTTTCTCCACACTGTGCTAACAACATAATTTCTGTTTATTATTTTATTTATGAAAAACAATTTTTGTAAACATGACCCAGCAGCCTAGCAATGGCGGACACCACATAGGAAATGCTGAGTCAACCGAACTTTGTCAACCAACCGAGAAACAAAGAGGTGGAGTTGAGGCGGGCCTTTACCCCCCCCCCCAATAATAACAGGGAGATAGAAATAAGCTATTTTGTGAACGAGGCTGCAACCTTTGATGATCTTTGTTTAAAAAAAAAAAAAAAAAAAAAAAAGCTTTTTTTGTGTGTGGTTTGTAGCCTCTGTGGCAAGCCTCAAGTGGACACTTAAAGAACTGCAGTTTTTAATACTTTATCATCAGTCTTGTTTTTTTTTTCAGGACTAGAGGTTGTTGATTCATTTGAACTCATTTAAAAATTGTGAAAGCTGAGTGATAAATGAGACCAGCTGGTCTAGACCAGACTCATCATGATATTTACAGACAGAACCAACACTCAGACCCACAGACCCACTACCATCTCATCTTCAAACATGTGTGAAACACTTACAGTGGTGAGGAAAACTTCCTTTAACAGGCAGAAACCTCTAACAGAAGATAAATGGTTTATGTTTTTTTCAGTCTGATTGACTACAAAGACCTGTAATGGTTCTTGGATATCCACCCAAAACTTCTTGATCTGTCACATTTCTGTCTTTCTTTATACTGAGACATCTCCCTTGCTGTGGTCTGACTTGTCATTTTCAATCTGTGTCTTTGCTTATAATAGAAACAAACCACCAGAAATACAGGGGTCTGAAGGACAAAACACAAAATAGACAAAGTAAAGGCTTCCACTTGACCTGTGTCTCCTGGCCCATATGACAATAAAGCCTCTGAGCTTCAACAAAGCAGAACAGCATGGAAGATGGATCACTGTGGGAAAGGATGTGGCTTCTTTCAAAGCAATCTGCTGCCCATTCGCAGGTATCCAGAGAGGGAGACGCACACTGACCATCAGATGGCAAGCTGAGAAATTCCCACTGGAGCAAAAAAATTCACACTCATGCATTTACTCTTGATTGCCCGTAGCCATCCATGCGAGAGGGAGCACACTACTCAAACCACACACACACACACACACACACACACACACACACACACACACACGCACAGAGCTTCTATTCAGTCTGGTGCACCTCAGCCCCTGAAGGTATTCAGGAAACACACACACACACACACACACAGACGTCCCCCTCCACAACTATCACCACCTTCCCTGCCAACACACCACACTATCTCCAGTGGCTCTGGACCGTGTGTGTCTGTGTTTCAGTGTGACACCTTGTCAGACAACACACACAGACACACAGAGTTCACCTGTCTCACCTCTGATTTGGTTATCGGGAGCAGATAGGCCTCTGCAGTGAGTTTTCAGTGCTCGGCATTCTCTCCTCTCTAAACCCAGCTCAGTCTCAGCAGATGACTGTCTTACATCAGTCTGGTTCTACTCAGGGTTTCTGAATGTAAAAGGAAGTTCTCCCTCTTCACTGTAACTTGATAAATGTTGTTAAGTGTTTCACTCGTGGTTGAAGATGTGATGGGTGTGGGTCTGATCTTAAAGTATAGGTCTCAGTCTGATCGCATCTTTACATTGAGTCTTCATGGTCTGGATCAGCTTTTCTGCTAAGCATCTTTGGATAACACTTGCTGTGAATAAATAAATAAAGATTAATTGATGACATGATCATTTATTTTCTTCCTAGGCCTTGCACAGAAGCTACTTGTTTTCACATGATTTTAAATCATTACGTGGACCAAAAACAACCCCTTTTTAAAAAAAAAAAATATATATATATATCTGTGGACTCACAGTAAATCATTAAATTTCAGCACACCATGGAATTTCTTGCCTGCTCACATTAATGAGCTGGTACTGATGCAGCCTACAAGCCTCCATTTGGTTTCATTGGCTTTAGTGAGTGAGACTTGATCAGTACTAATTTAAGAAAATCATGAAAAATGTTTTGCTTCCTTCAGTATTTTAGTCACAAAGAGTTAGTCACCACCAACAAAATGCTTTCAAGAACAAATGAAAGTCCCATTCACTCTCATTGGCATAATCAATAACCAGAATTTAAATTAAAAACAACCCCACCTTTTAAAAAGAGGGAAAACATAAAGTATTCTCTGAAGAACACGTTTTGGAGATGCAAAAATAACAGTAATACAATGTTAGTTCAGCGACTCAAACTGAAAATATCATTTCCAAGGAGCAGAATAAGCAGAAACTCATTAATTACAGGGCTGACACTGTAAGCTTGAAGTCTGAGGACTGACCTGCTTTAGTCGTCAATCAGGTCACGATCCCTAAGCCCCCTGATTCCACCGTACATGTTTGTGCCGCCCCCTTTCTGCACGGTGCTCACTGTGGCTAATCTTTTCAGGTTATGTACCTGTTTGCATCTGCATCACCTTTGAAGAGCGTCTTTTTGCTCTCCTCCAGGTCGACCATCCTCAGACTTGGTATAGAACCACACAAGATAGAAGCACACAAATCAATTGATATTATCCATTAGGACGATTTCTACATTGCTGTCATCACATGATTTTACAATTGTAGTTCTTTCCTATTGTCATGATCATGTAAATCCATTTGCTGTAAGTTGCACTCCTGTGGACTTCATTCCTGAAACTCTTTCAGCAGGGGGTGGAACACAATACACATGAGTGAGATTTAGTTAGAGGGAGACTGAGCGGACATGGAGATCTGAGGGGGGTCTAAGTTGAAAAATAATTTCTTCAATGCTGTGTGTGTGTGTCTGTTTGTGTTTGTGTCTTCATATTAAAGGGATATTTCATTGTTTTTTGGAGTGATGTTGTATGAGTAAGGTCAGCTCAACCCTTTTTTGAGAAAACTGCTGAGGGGAACAGGACCCCAGGTTTGACTCTGTTTGTGGCTGATGGGCTTGATTTTTCTATGAAGTTTAGCTGACTCTTAATGACTCTGGTCTAGTTCTGT